TCGCCCATCTTATTCAGAAAATGTTAACTAAGAAAATTTATTGAAAGATTTTTTTGTTTTCAATGATTTTGGGTTTGGGGTGTGTTTTGGGGATGTATATATAAGACATTTAGCAGCGATTTTGCTTCGAATTTGCATTGCAATTTAGCATCGAATTAGCATCGAATTATTTTGCGTCGACTTTGCTTCGTATTAGCGTTGATTTAGCGTCGGTTTTAGGCGACGCTATAGAAGTAGGTGAACCCATTAAAAACATGCCACCTACCTACCCAGTTTGACGAAATATTCGACGCTACAACCGACGCTATTGAGCCGACGCTAAATCAACGCTAAATTAACGTCGATTTAGCGTCGAATTAATGATCTGGATGCTAAATCGACGCTAAATCGATGCAATTTAGCGTTGATTTAGCGTCAATATTTTTCATCTCAATTTTGCGTCGAATTTGCATCGAATGGTTGGAACGACACAAATACGACGCAAAATCGTCGCTAATTTTGCGTCGACACAAATCCGACGCAAAATTTCGATGCTAAAACTATTTTTTCTTGTAGTGTTTTCTGAAGAACAAACACAAAACTCTTCAGAGTTTGCTAATACCAAAAACAGAGAAGCTTGCGGCCCACGATACGTGATGATAATCAAAGGGTCAGAGTGGGATTCCACCAAGAATCTATCAATAGCAAAGACACTAGAAACATAAAAATCAAAGTTAGACCAAATCAATGAACATAAAAAAAAGAAGGTCAAAGTGATTTAGTGAAGTTCAACTTCTCATGAGCACGATGATCAAAGTCATATGATTGAAAAACATTAATCAATGTGAATCTTCACACAGAAGATAAATATAAAAGGAGAAACATACATATGAAGCAAATTTAATAAGAATAATTGATTTCTTTACATGTGAAAGAGAAAGAAAACAATCGATGACTAAGTTTACAAAGTAAGAAAGTGTATATATAAGTATGGATGATATCATATCATTTAAATTCACTTATATAAGGAGTTACGTTGGTTAAAACTAGGGGTGGGCATTCGGTTT